TCAGCTTGAAAGTCAAATATTCGAAGTGTATTGGCCAAATTCGAGAATTTACGCCGCACCACCCCATATCGCCTGCAAAACTGTGCTGTGCGCGCAACGCGTGCGGCGCCAACTGGTCCTATATATAATGAGTTATCGTTAGGGATGACTTCTTTAATGACAAACTCACTTTCAATCTTTCGGTTTCTCCAGTGGTTTCTCCAGTTCAAGGTTTCTCTAGTGGAGTGAAGTGAAGAACGTGTGGTGATTTCTGCCGCTGCTCTGACATTGCATCCACACATGCAGTTACAAGGACACCAAGCGCAAGAGCCCTCATTCTATGCAATTTGAAGACAATAGTGCTGTTAGGAATGGAACACTTGCGAGGGCTGAACGATGTGCCTACTTCTCTCTCTGGTTTTTATATGGTGGTTTATTAAGTTGACACATCTGGAATAGACCCGATACGGCCACGCGACGACGCGGAAAAAGTGTCACTTCAGCCGCTGCTCTATATGGCGCTCATTGTTGTGATCAACGTTTCAATGCCTATTGTGAATTTAATTATGCAATACGCAGACGTTTATAATAGCGAACGGGATTTCCGCGAATAATTATTCCTCTAAAATAATCGAGGCAACTTCTTGAAATGCTGTTCCACCTCACGTAATAATTTGCGGCTGGAAATGAAATACTAGGTTGTTGAACAAGTCTAACGCATTAATTTCTGCATACCGTGGAATGTTTGGGGATCGTGTAGAAACATTCACTGTAAACTGAACTGAATCCTGACCAATGGTCTCTTCCGCAGCATTGCTGATATAGCGTTCTGCGAAAAATCATTTTTCGTTGAAAGAATCTTACGCTGCAGCTGCTCTCATCAACCTAGAAGGTGTGCCAATGGAAGCGACAAGCGAGGCAAGAAGGTCAAGTGTTCTGATGACTTTCGGACTGTCTCCTACAATATGGCAAATACGTCGTTGCTGATCTCAAAAACGAGAAAAAAATACAAATCTGGTCACGAAAAAATCTGCATGAGCGACTTGATTCACTGCCTGTCTCTCTTGTCCAGACACCTTGGTTTTGGTTGGCAAGAAGTGGGTTAGTTGTTGGAAGCATGCTGCTTACCGAGGCACTCGTACAATTTATTCATCATAAGACAGTCGTAAAACGAAATGATATCAGGTCCAAGAAATGATGTGTGGTATCATCTTTCGCAGCCATTATTCGCTTTCCTCTGTCTAGAGTGATCTACCAGATTTTGATTTTGCTACAGCATATACAAACCATTGACACGTTGACGACAGCGTGACGCGGTAACGCGTCCCACTTTGCGCACCTCGTGGGACATTGTGACGCGGTAACGCGTCCCACCCAAGTCATCCCTTTTTCTTGCGCTTGTGCGACTTATTCCTAAGGTCTTTGTACTCATTCTATAGGCCATACATTAGCATACTTAAAAACCACATGGCTCACAGAAAGGCCAAATATTCTTTAGTTTGGCAGAGGTTTTCCAGACCTTACGATATGTCTGTTCAGTTCATTCCTCGTTTTCTTTTCATTAACGTGAACATGTGATAAAAAGGAATAATAGAAGTGAATACAAACCTATTCGTATGGGAAGATATGTGTTTTTACTGAAACAACCACGTCCAAATTAATTTTGGAACCACTAAAGGAAATTAAGTAAAATTTGCCTTTTCATGGCCTCAACACGTCACTAGGGTCGAACTTCCTCCTGATAAGCTTAACAGATCGGACATTTCTGAATACATTTTATCGCATCTAAGTATTGCGTATTTACAGCTCAAAATCCATGGATTTGGTGTGCGGCGGCGGCGCTCGCAAAATCGCTCTGGTCCCACGCGGTGCAAAAACCAAAACGCGCGATGTCGTCAACGTGAAGGTTATTCTCGTCACTAAGGTGTAATTGCCACGGTCATAGTTTGCTTGAGTGTGGAAGAATCCCAGTGTCCGACCAATCTCGTGTGCGGCAATCTCAACCTGCTACAGCATGGAGAACGAGTTTGCATCACAGTAAACTCTGTCTGTTGTGTGGTTGATTCATATCCCTTTTAATAGTGTAGTTTCTTAAACATGTGCGTGTGTGGTCTGAAGGAAGCGCCTTCAAACCGCACCGATTCACAGCCTGTGCCGAGTATGAGTTCCTGCGGGCCTGGGCCTATTTTACCGACGTGTGAAAAACGTCCTTCTTCTAAGGCCCTATACATATAAGAAGTCTCGCGCCGAAACGCTAACATTTGAATGAGTTCCTAGGGTTTTCGACTCTTTCAATACTTTACAGTGAGGGACTATTGTGTTTATCCTGTTATGATTATTATTAGCTCAACTAATTGGCTGGTGTTTTTTTTATCAAATTCGTTACTACCCACGCCTAAGTTGGACAGCCACAGCGATAACAATCGAGAATGATGAGAGGAAGTGTTTCCGCTGGATGGAACATACGATATTATCTCATGCTCATAGTTGCATTCAAATGTGAATATCACTGAGCACCATTGATTCACTTCGGTATGTGTGATCTCCTTCGAAATGGGTGCATTTCTGTCTATGTGGAATGTGAAGCTAGGCGGGCCCAAAGAAAAACACTTACTTTCCGAAGATCCGCGAAAAAGCGTTCAGGAAGACCAGGCGTCGAACAATATTACTTACGCGGCTTGATACTCGTTTTCATCGAATCCGGGTATTCTTTAAAGTCGATGCAAGCCAGCAGAATTTTTCACGTCCTTCTGTAGCTTCCACCTCAGAGCCGCAAACTTTATTTCAGTTTGCAGCTCGCTCTTGTGAATCGCTGTTTAATGGAACTTCAACTTACAACCGCAACATGGTAGCTGAATTTGTTCGCAAAGAAGCGTTTGAAGTGAAGAGTAAATCTCTCTGTGTAGCCCGCATAGGCTATGCTTATACTTCACAGCGAGAAGATTATGACAGTGGGTCCACGTCAAAATATTTCTGAAACAACATTCGATTAGAGGATGCAATCCTCTGCTCATCATCCACGCCACCTTGGAAATTTGAAGTCATACGCCATCGCTTGAGTTTTTGAGTCAAGAAAATTGGTGCTATCGCTTGAAGCCACGAGTCAGGATTAGGCAACCAGCAGAAGTTCTTCCCAGGGTGCGATAGTGGGCTCCCCAAGCACTGAGGGCGCGACACTATCGCGACCCAAAAGTGCGCGGCAATGGCGCTAAGGCCTTGCCCGCCGCGCTGCCCGCGCTGCCAGCGTAATCCACCACGGCATACGTGGTCTCTGCGTCCTCTCGCGTATGACGTACTATCTCGCGTTCTCCCTCTCCTCGCAGCGCTGTGTCTCTCCGTCGTACTACGGCCTCCTAAGGGAAATTTAGTGTTTTCTATGGTGCTTTTTGCTTTTTCTCCTCACTAATGTTCCTCATTGCACCCCTTGCCTAATGTTTGAACAAAATAACGCATCAATTCAATCCTGAATCGTGCCTCTAACCTCGAAGAAGCTCATCGTAGCTACTTCAACCTGGGGCAGCTTCGTGATATCCTCGGTCAACCTACCAGAGGTCTCGATGATGTACCTGAGAACACTCCTAATTCGTAGGAAGAATAAAATCAGGAGAAAGAAAGACAACGCAAAAACTTAACCTCACTTTAAATGTGTCGGCTTCACCGCTAAAAAATCTGGCTCTGTTTTCGTTGTGGCTTCTTATCATAATGGTGCCTTTTCAACTTTCGTGCAGGGTTGCCCTTGGAGTCTCAAAAGCCCAACCCAACATGGGTTCACGTGAACGGACTTCAAAAGTTCGCTGATATAGGTTGTTCCGAAGCTCACAAAGCCCCGTTCAACTGTGCATAAAGGGCATTAGTGCTGTGCAAAGTCTGCTTTCTCTTCCATATTTTCCGTACCACAAAGAGCAGCAGCTGAAGTGATTGCGCTTTACATCTGGGGACTATCCCCGTAATGTCAACATCAAACTACAGAAACACCATATAAATACGAGAAGAGTGAAACACCCACATTCACAAGCCTCAGTAAGTGTACATTCCTAATATTCTTATTATCGTTCGGAATTTTCAGCTCTTGTGCATAATGAGGGTACTTGCGCTTGCTGTACTTGTGACTGTGTGTGTGGATGCAATGCCAGAGCGGCGGCAACCAACATACTTTCTTCACTCCACTCCACAGGAAGGACCTTTAGAAAGACTGAAAGTGAGTCAATATCATTAAAAAAGTCGCTAATCGGTAACTCATTATCAAGTTCTTTAAGAGAAAAACTATTGAAAAAATGCAACATAACATGGGACGCTTGATTGAGGAAATCAACGAGAAAAGCGGAGTCACAAGCGCTTACCAAGGAGATATTCTCTTTACAAAGTTAGTTGATTCAGTATTCAGAAATCTTCTCGCCAAATTTACAAGTAATATTAAGAGATGAGCTGGAACAAATGGGAACCCGTTCTAAACGGCAAGCAATGAGAGACCTTAGCAGAAGATGGTCAAACAACACGGTCCCCTACATATTTTACCATCCAGGTCAGCTAATCTAGAGTGTTCTTTCGCACACGAGCGAAGAACAAGCGAAATTTCATTCACTATGTTTAGACGAAAAGGCTAAGAACGCCTTCAAAAAAGCAGCGCAATTGTGGAATGACAACACGTGCATTAACTTCAAAGAATACTCGGATCCGAGAACATCGGGTATCAAGCCGCGTAAGTGACATTATTCAACGTCTGAGCTTCCTGAACGCTTTTTCTCGAAATTTCGACAGTTTCTTTGGGACCGCCCAACTTCACATTCCACATAGGCAGAAATGCACCCATTTCGAAAGAGGTCGCACATAACGAAGGGCAATCAATGGTGCTAAGTGATATTCACATTCGAATGCAACCATGAGCATGAGATAATAGCTATCGTATGTTCCACCCAGCGAAAATACTTATATCATCATTTTCAATCGTTATCATCATGGCTTTCCAACTTAGGCATGGGTAGATATCAAGTTGATGAGAAAAAACACCAGACAATTTGTTGAGCTAATAATCATTATGGGATAAACACAATAGTATTTCACTGTAAATATTGATAGAGTCGAATTTCTGGAGAGGTTCACTTGAACGTTAGTGTTTCAGCTACAGACTTCTTATATTTGGCTCCCGGAGACGGATGTTTTTCGCACGTTGGTAAAATAGGCCCAGGCCCGCAGGAACTCATACTCGGCACAGGCTGTGAATCGGTACTGTTTGACGGAGCTTCCTTCAGACCACAATCACATGTTTAAGGAACACAGTATGCACAGGGGTATGAGTCTAGCACACAACAAACAGAAAAGTCCCCTGAGTTTACTGTGATGCAACTACGTTTTCCATCCTGTTGCAGGTTGGGATTGCTGCACACGAAATTGGTCATGCACTTGGATTCTTCCACACTCAAGCAAGATATGACCGTGACAATTACATTACAGTCGACGAGAATAATATTAAGGTAAGGTTTGTAAATGCTGTAAAAAAATCGAAATAAGGTATTTTTTGTCTTTTTCCTAGAATTCTATTAATTCTAGAGTAAGGTAGATGACTTTAGAGCGGCTGGACTAGGGACTTCGATAAACAGGACGAGACATACAACAACAACTATGGTATAACATACGATTTTGGAAGCATAATGCACTACGGATCCTAAAAGGTAGGATATGTTGGAGAGGAACCTGCAAATGAAAGTAAGTTTTTAGCCCTATCGCAGCCAAAGACGAAAAGGAAAGCGAATAATGACTGCCAAAGATGGTAATTACACATCAACTCTTGGATCTGATATCATTTCGTTTTACGACTTGCTTATGATGAATAAATTGTACGACTGCCTCGGTAAGCAACATGCTTCCGAAAACTTGCTACTACGTTCGCAAAGGCCACAGTTCCAGACAAATGTGATCCTAAACCAGACTGCAAGAATGAGGGATTCCCTCATCCTCGTGACTGCTCCAAATGCATCTGCCCTAGCGGATTCGGTGGACCGTTGTGCGACGAAAAGGTGGCTAATTCTTCCTCAGGTTGTACAGGTTGTAAGTGGTGTTTTGTTTACAAAAGAATAATTTAGCCATCAAGTTGCGGTAAAGAATTGGAAGCTACCAGCGATTGGCTACCGATTGAAGAAACTCTAGACGCTGGGGAGGAAGGCGAGGAGCAGGACGAATTTAAAAGATGCACTTATTGGATCAAGGTTCAAAACTTCTCCAAACTAACTGTATTCGAGCCTGAAATATTAGTTTTAAGGCACCGGATAATGTGGACAATGCAAGGATAGAAGTGAAAATTAGCGGAGCTTCCTGAGGAATTCAACAAAGATGGATGCATTTATGCTGGTGTCGAAATCAAAGCAAATGAAGATAAACGTCTCACTGGTTACAGGTACAATGTTACAAAGATATGAAGAAAAACCACATTCACTTCGGAATACTTTTAGGTTCTGCTCACAAGAGGACATTGGCACTGAACTTTCCTCAAACTCGAAGATTGTCCCTGTGATACTGTACAGTGGTAGCCGAAACAAAGGCCATTCTCCACAAAGCTGGAGTATCGTTACACTTCATAGGAAATTTGCACATTCTCAGCGAATAAAGTCTTCAATTGGAATGGATCGTTTTCTGCGCTCACGTAACTGGGTTCAAACCGTAGCGGATATTCGAAGTCAAATTCGACCCGAAGAGGATACCAGACTCTCAGAGTCAGTAAAATCCTGTGAATTTTTCACAAAAAATTCACTAGAAAAGTTGCCACAAAAGAAAGGTCATTTTGAACTTGATGGCAGCAATCTTGGAATCCCTCGTCTGATCAGGAAAGATTTCAGGACATGGAGCCGCTTTTTGAAAACGGTTTTTTGCATGATAAAGGGGCACATGCATGGAGTACAAAACTAGGCTCCATTTTTTCTGAGCGGCCCTCTGAATGCCAAAAAGGGAGTGGAAAGAGATTCAACGGAAATCGCAATTTTCACAGTCTTCTTCTTCTCCCTAGCGTTAGTCCCGCGCAGTCGCAGGGTCCGCTGTCTTTGTCAGTCGTCGCCACTTCGCTCTGTCTAGGGCATCTCTGCTGTGGCCGTGACTTCACTTAGGTCCTTCTTGATACGTCCTTCCACCTCTTCTTTGGGGCTCCTCGCGGTCGCTTGCCTTGCACTTCGAAGTCCATCGCTTTCTTATCGGATGGCCTGTGGCCTCCTTAGCACATGCCCATACCATCGCAGTCGCTGTTCCCTCACCTTCAGCTGGACAGGGGCAGTCTGCATGACCGCTCTGACATCCTCGTTTCTGACCCTGTCCAGTCGCGTCCAGCCGCAGGCCCATCTCAGCATTTCGGCGGAGTGAAGCTGCCTTTCGTGATTCTTGTTCAGGGGCCAGCACTCGCTGCCGTAGAGCATCGCAGGCCTTACCACTGTCCGGTACACCTTCCCTTTGAGCGCTCTGGAGCACCTTCGATCGCAGAGGATTCCAGTGGACTCCCTCCATTTCATCCATGCCGCGTTGATCCTCCCCTTACTGCCTGGTCCACACTGCCGTCGGCTGCCAGATCACTCCCAAGGTATCGGAAGTCCTCCACTCTTTCGATGCTTTCACCATGTCCATGATCGGCTCTGCACCCTCTTCAGAGCTCAGGAACTTGGTCTTCTTGACATTCAGCCGTAGCCCACCTTCTGCCAGGACCTTCTGCCATTGCTGCACCTTGGCCTGTAGTTCCTCTCTACTATCCGCTATCAGGCGATGTCGTCAGCGTAGAGGATGGTCTTCAGTGGTCGTCGTCAGCGTAGAGGATGGTCTTCAGCGGTCCTTCTATGAGC